ATCCATGTCATCATTTACCCAGAATGCTTTGCGTGTAAATAAAATTGCTCCGTCCATGTCAAAATGTTTTTAAAAATGTACAAAACTAAACAGCCTACAGTATTTTTACATTCTTTATTTTACAGTTAAAATAAATGTTTATCAAATAAAGTCTAACGTTACAACTAATCGGGGATCCCTTTAAAGTCAGAATTTGTATCATGACAACAAACTCTAACAGCATGAAAAAACAGTGAAAATGAACGAAAGCTAATTAAAATTTCACTTTCACCACCTAAAGTTTCTAGTTTTAGCATCAGCTGAGGAGAAATGTGTTGTTTCAAGTTAATATTTCAGGTTAAAGCATGTTAATATTAACAAAACACTGGCTTTTATGAAAGTAATCACTGGATGAACATCTACAACTCATTAACCTGATCAACTTAACTGGCTGCCAGTCCATCAAGGTGACCTATGACTTATTACAGTCAAAGGTTTCCAATGTGGGCGCCACTCCTACATTGGTTTCACAGCACCTGGTGTTCCCCGGTGGTCTCTCATCCACACACTAACAGGCCTGACCCTACTTAGCTTCTTGAGATCAGATAAGATCTGTCGAGTTCAAGTATGGTCGCTGACCTTAGCCAACACACAAATAGCTACACCCCAGTCAGATTGACAGATGCTGAGCTAAAATGTAGCAGGGCTGAGTGTTACCTCGAGCACAGACTCTGAAGTTTTAGTTTATTGTGTTACAGGAGACAGGTTATGGTGTTTCTTAAAAAAAACCCACCAAGTATTTATTTATATAACAAATGTTTCCTGGATTTCCTCAAGCAGCTCATCAGAATTTAAATGATTGCAGCAATTCCCCATGGGTGTCTCCAGGGATAAGTAAATAAACACAATCAGTTAGGACTGGAAGGCTGTGGACATGTAAAACAGGMTTTGACCTTTTGACCTGTTGTATAATAATCTCGACCTTGCGGGTAATTTATCCTCATGCGTGCCGAGGGAAGCTTGGCACGAACACCCAGCGTCGTTCCGTCGTTTATGGTTCACGGGTCAAAGTTCATCCCTGTGGGGGAAGACGTTAGCGAGCACGTACTGAGTAACGACAGCTGCTCGTTGGCGGCTCGGACCCACTGCTCACACAGCTCCTGGCTGGCACAGTGAAAGGTGACGTCGCTGCAACACCACTGGTGTTGGAGGGTCTTCCTCACGAAGGAAACTGGAAAGAAACAGAAAAAAAGCTCAGCGGTAAATACTTCACCTTTTCAAACTAGAAAGCTCCTTATCTGCTCCTAAAAAATAAAAGCCTAGAATGAAGCCATGAATATAATCTTGAAAGTAACATTAAGTGTCACACAGAGCGTCGGCTCAGATTGCTGATGATCTGTGGCAGCCATCTTTGAATCAGGTTAGCTCCAAATGTTAATCAGCTGTTACAGATGAATTCCCTCACCACCACGTACAACATAATCTGAAACGGTGCAGCTGAGTTGCGCTACAGTGCAGCCTTGTCCCGAGCATGAACTCCAGCTTTATCAAGTGGGTCAAATCAGATATTTTAATGACTCGAAGGGACCGAGGAGGAGGCGAAGACAAAACGTGGAGCTGTTCAACTGAGAGCATTACTGAAATATTTACATTAAGCTGCAGAAACTCCCTCACTAAGCACTTTGACAGCAGATCCACTCTGTAAGCATTTCAGTCAAATGATCCCACCGAGCACTTCTTCTCATCAGAGGCAGAGATGAGAGTTACGGCTCTTTGAAGGGAGCCGGATCTTAAAGGGCCAATATTATGGGTTTCTCAGGCATATATTTAAATACTATACCATAATAAAGTCTCTATGTCACCTTTAGTTGTTATTAAAATGCTGTTTTGTTTAAATAGAAAATAAACTTATCTTCTCACTTCCCCTTCTAAACGCCTTGAAATTGGCCTCTGTCTCTTTAAGAACCTCCTTCTGCTTCTGTCTCTTTCTGGGGAAGGGGGGGGG